CAGGAATCCCTCCTTACAACCAAGACAGCAACAAGATTCCTGCTATAACCATAAAAGTGTAATTTTGTGGTCCTCTTAGGTGCCATTTCTAGGTAAATATGTCTAGCCACAATTAAAAACCTTTAATATTATCCACATAATTACTTGCTTGTACCCAATGATGCTACTTAACAGTGACAAAGAAAGCCTTCAACCTTTTAAACTATGTCCAACGTAATCACTAGGCTGATTTGAGATCTATTGTATGAAGAGACTATTGAACCATTTTTCAGAACTGTGAACATTAATTTTACAGGTGTTTATACCAAACAAAAGTCAAAGTATTTTGCAAATGAAAGGCAAGCCTGAAAATGGAATTTTAATTTTAAAATTATGAAAAATGCAAACAAAAATAAAAATTTTATTTCCTTCCTAATGTTCTTCACAATATGCAGAAAAATCATCAAACAGGCCAAATGTGATTTTGGTTTTTTTGCTTTGATGTTTATTTATATTTTTAAGATCTACTTGATAGCAGGTTTTAAAGCAGAATATACATTTTCTGCTCCAAACATTTTTTGGATAAAATCTATTTCAGGAAGGAAAGGAGAGTTACAGCACATGTCCTCCTCATTATAAGTTTTAAGTATTGCATTATTCAGATGGGAATTGATTTTAAAAACTTTGGAAGAACATTTTCATTTTATCAATCAGCTCTATAAAATGGTTTAATATGCCCACACTGTTCCCGATTTAATTATCATAGAGCTTACCCAGCAAAATGGCTACACAGCAACAGCCTGTACCTACAGACCGATACAATGCAGTCCCTACTGTGATATGCGTATTAGTTTTGAAATTAATTCTCACTGGCCAGTAGAACGGTCATTCTAACCTATCCAGGCAAGTTCATTTTTGCTCTGATTTTTCCATGCTTCTATAATTGGACACTTCACTTCTTTTTCACTTAAACTACCACCCTGAAACGGGCGGTTTAAAAAACAGAGCTAAGTTTGAAGTCCAATAGAAGTGGCGTGGCGTGGCGTGGGGGGTGGCGAATCCTGTCTTCTTTGCTCCTGTGAACTGTCCTACAACGAGCTGGTATTTTGGGGTTAGGTTGTTTGAGGGTTTTTCTGATCACGTTTAAGGTTCCATTTGCCATGCTACAGGCTCCCAAATTATAGTCCAAGCATGCAGTCCCCAAAGTTGGGTCTGTAATGAAAGAACTAACCAAACTCTAACCATGCTAATAGAAAAATCAGCTCTATATAAACTAATAAACCTCTATAATAAAAAGTCATTAATTGAATCTATTACACTGAGTCATTAAATAAGAGAGACATTCCTCCACTCCTTTTTAATAGAAGAAAAACATATACAAATTTAACTAGCAATACTGATCAAAAGATGCAATACCCTTGAAAAATGAATACTAATATCTCAATACTAAAACGGAGTGGGCAATATATTTCAACTTTGAAACCGCTTTGCAATTACACATTAATCCCCTCAGCCTGAACAGCAGGTCTCTGAAGAAAGGATTGATCTCCTTTAATGATGAAACCCTGGCACCATGGTTTTATTTTTCACAACACGGTGCAGTTAAGAACCCCACTGTTATTATGAAAATTTCCTCAGCAAAGGAGCTCCATCACATTACCAGTGCACCAATTCATCATAACGTGCCTCGCTCCTGCTCATCAACAAGTCTGAGTGATGAAAAGATCCAATATTATCCTGACAGTACTTCATGCACATTCTCAATCACACATTATTACAGCATCCATATTAATTTTCACTGACACGCGTCCTAGGCCTGTTCAAATTAGGCAAACCAACGAGGGGGAGTTGATGAAATACCAGCATAGCCACAGCTCATTGCATTCCAATTTGCATGCAAATGGTTTATCAGGAAAATTCCATTCCCAGCAACCAGCAAGTGAAAAACAACCGTAATCTACACTTCAGGGCCACCATACAGAGCTTAATGAATCGCAAAGAGAGAAGGAAGTGACAGACCTATGAGAGGATCGATTTCCACTGGCAGCTGGTAAGGCTGGTCTTGTACAGCACCTTGATGAGCTGGAATTCAGGAAAGAAGATTTTTAAACTCTGCATTTTTTTAATACGTGAAGCCACATGCATTTTATAAATCAAAGCTACATCTTTTTTTTTTTAACTATTCAAGATTCTTCTGCATCAATTGAATTAAAAAAAAAAAAAAAATTTCCAGGTGCTTTCCCGGGCTGCTTATTAAACATTTATTTCAGATTAGTGCTATTCTGAATGTATGCCATCAGCAGCAGCTCCGGTCCTGAGCCATAAGCTCTAGCAGATGCTTTACTGGCAACCTCTCCTGTCGCAACAAAACAAAATTAAGTGGTAAAGAGCACTGAAAACAAAATGTGACAACCATCTGCTGACTGTAGCAAATACTATTTTCCTCTTCACTTTTTAAAGCACTGCTTTGAACAAGTGAAGCACAAAGGACATTTTTTAAAAAAGTCAATTTATGATGCAGACAGGGAAATCTTATAGTCATCCAGTATTTAAGGATTCATCCATCACCAAAAACCATTTATTTGCAAGTTTGCATAGAAGTTAATATATAATTCTGCCGCCCTACATTTCATCTGGGCACCTGGCATACCAGTGAAATGTTTACCTCCTGAATTTTCCTTCAGTGTTAAAAAAAGCCTTTTTTCTCCACAGCCTCACTAAAAACAAACAAGCAAGCAACCTCCGTCCCCACAAACAGCCCGTAAGACATTCTTGGAAGCGGAACAAAAAATAATGCCTGAATACTTACACCTATGGTTTTTCTATCTACTGTCCATAGCTTAATATAAACATTAGTATCAATAGAAATCCACGTGACAAAGTAGAGGCACCCTGTTGGGTACCAGTGCCATTATATGCCAGCAAAGCCACCACACTCATACACAAAAGCAGGAATATAATTACACATCAGTGACAACTGGTCACTTGGCAACTTAACTTTTTTATCATGATGCCTCATTAGTAAAGACAATGCTAAGCCCACAGCAGGAGATATGGAGTAGTAATGATACCTGCCCTCTAATCCTAGTAGATCCCATTTTGGTATAAAATTTGAAGGCAACAATAGTGAAGGCTCGTCTCAGGAGTCCATACCCAGATATCTTAAGCGCAGTACTCCGTTAACAGCCTGCAGCTAATCCCTGTGCTCTCAAAGAGGTGGGGTGAGGTTGGGTTTTGTCGGGTTTTGTTTTTGTTTGGTTGGCTTTTGTTTGTCTTGAACTGTAGGTTTTCTTGAGCTCTTTGTAAAGCCAAGACAAGTGTAAAATGCCTCTAAATGAAAAAACAGCCACTCAAAAGCACAGCTTACTGTTGTCCCTTTCAGAGGTGAGGGAAAAACCCAAATGTGAAGGTTTTGTTCAACTTGAAACAGTTGATTCTACACTCAACAACTGGTTGCTTGCTTGATCACCAACCAGGAGACTTAGGAGAAAATCAAAATCAACTCCTACCACTTCACAACCTCTTCTTTTCCCATGACTGTTGTATGTCCACAAAGGCTATTTTTTAAAAGCCTTGAACATTATGTGCCCAAGGTCACACATCCAAGGTATGAAAGGATATTGCCATCCTCCTTTCAAACAAGTGTCAAGAGCCCTGTAAATAGTTCTTGCTCACAACTTGTTATCTAGACAAGCCTCCCTTCCCCCCCTCCTTCCCACCTTTCTTTTTAAGCATTTCTTGGGTGGGTGAAATAATACATCGATGTTTCTATTTGGACAATCTTGAGAGGTAATTTGTAAGAATTAGGAAAAAGTGTGGGAGTCAGCTGGCTTTTTTCAAAATGTAATCAAGGACCATGGGTCCAGATTTCTTAGTAGGAATTTCAGTGATGTAAGTATTACTCTGGTGCAAATATCTTCTATTTAAGTTATTTGAGTAGAAGCTCTTTTTTCCCTTTCTTGAAAAGCCTTTGACCAGATTTACTGCATAGCGCCGAAATAAACTGCCTTTCATGGCTTGGGCCTGAGACTGTCATAGGCAGGGAAAGGAGGATGAGTGCCTTTAAGATTAGAGAACATTAGAATTGAAAACAGAATGACTATATTCTCAAGTCCAACACATTTTAAAGGAAAACTAATTTGACTGGTTGCTATGCAAACGGATATGTTGTTTTCCTTTCACATTGACAAATACATAAGCACCTAATAACTTGAGGATGTTTAAGTTACAGAAGATATGGACTTCCCGTATATTTTACCTTCTAATACTCATTGAGTGGCTTTAACGTCACAATATGGTGTTCATAATCAACTAGAAAAAGACAGCAGCAGAAAAGATTTCAGGCAAGTTCTACATGCTTTAAAACTTGTCTTTGACATGATACGGTTCAGACTTCCATCTAACTGAAAAACAAATTCAAGAGGAAGAGTGTGACTTTATCATGATCAAATAGGGATATATTGTTTTTGTCTTCTTGCATAGTGCCTGATGGCCCGGAAAGCAATATATTGTTGTTAAAAACCTTTTGTGCGCTACACATCTTACTACACAATAGTTCAGATTACCTTTTTAAGGAGGAACTAAGTCCACATGTGAAGAGCATGCTGAGTCAATGAACTGGACTTGCTCTTCACAGTTTCAATTTAAAACAGGTCTGCACAAATTTTGAGACAGACAACGGAAGTACTGCTTGGTGGCAGCGGTTTCTTAGGCTACTTACTTTAATTTACTTACCAGGAAGATTATGCCACTTGTTTACAGCAAATAGCCTATTTGCAGTAACTGTGATCACAGCAGGAGTGGCCAGACCAGGCTGGGTGTTGGCTGCTACATGAGTGACAGGGGAGTTGGATGGGAACTTTAGAACCATGATAACGTCCTGTTGAGCTTGGTCTGTGAACATCAACGGACTCTGCAGGAGGAGATACTGTTGAGTGCACACAACAAGAACCCAAATACACGGGGAAAGAAAACATGAGGAGGAGAAAGAAGACAGGACAAGAGAAGGAAGATTGGATTAAAACACACAAGATCCAATAGCAGCTGCAGTGAAAAGCAAATGCAATAATAGTGGACAAGCTTGTGGAAACAACCATTTTAGGTAGAAAAACCTTCATGTACGCTATTAATTTGACGGCCTTGTTGAACACAGGACGTCTCTATACAACCTTTGCTACAGATCACAGCAGATTGAACTAAAAGTTTCCAATCACCTATCCCTGCCAAAAGAATTCTCCTTCATATCTGCAGAGATAGTATGTCAAGGAAAGCAATGCCAAACTCAGAGGGAGCAAAAAAAAAAAAAAAAAAAAAAAAAACTGTTTAACTTTTTTTTTGATACCGAAAAAAAAATTTGTAAGCACCTAAAAACAAGGAAAGCAATGCCAAACTCAGAGGGAGCAAAAAAAAAAAAAAAAAAAAAAGTGAGCAAAAGAAATTCCTGCTCTCAGAGATTGTCTCAAGTTGCATTACATTGGCAGACTGCAATTCTTTACAAGCCAGATGAGAACATGAAAGCACATTAAAATAAACAGATACACACATACACTAGATATATGTTCTGTATATATTTCTGGTGTACAAAAATAAGATTTATGAATGCAAAGTAGAAGACTTCACTGCAAATGTGTTTCAAAGGACAAACATAATTAAATGCAGTTGTAAAGAATATAAAGTGGACGTGATTACAGACACTATCCTGTGTTGTTTCTAGAAATACTAAAGGGAGGGAATGAATCCAGACCCTCATTTTCAACATTATCTTTTTAGGTTTTAGTTTTTAATTTAAGAAGTTGAAAAGTTTAATAACTTTTTAGGTAAGCTTTCTAACAATACTGCAAATGTTGAAACAAAATATTGAGGACCTTAGATCCAGATATCAAACAAAAGGAGGAAAACCAAAACTTAATGGGTTTATGATTGTGTGGTATACCTAAAAAAGAGAACTCCACTGAGATGTAGAAATACAACCATCCTAGTCACCAGTAGCCACATTGCTCTAGTATTTGTAATTTTCTAATAGCTGAATTAGAACACTAATGAAGTGTTCTTGGCTATTTTCCACCTGCAATATTTCATTACATATATGTGTATGTAAGTGCATACATTTAATGTATATTTATACAGAACTAATAAAAAAATTAAATACATTTGCATTTTTATTATCACTCCTTTTTAAAAAGTTATTAAGAGTACTTAGAAAAACATATTGCTCTATGAATTCCTATTTACAGTCTTTGCATAAAGGTGTAAATAAAAGCAACTAATAAGCTACCCAGACACCCTTCTGAGCAAGTGGCTAAAAGCCAATCAATATTATGAGTTAATCCTCCCTGGATGCTCATTCAATTAAAGGTGTCAGTAATGCCTCATCTGATGTGGCCTCAATTAAATCCAGCTATCTGATGGTTGAAAACACAAGGGGATACAGCAACAGCAGCAAAACCAGACAAATAGGCAGCCTTCGTGTGACTGCTAATTACTACACCTGGTGTATATTATGGCTTGTGCACTTAACACAGCACGTGGTAGCTTTCAATTGGGCTGTATTCATGCATACATGCACACACACACATGAAAACAGAAAATTCAGTAAATAATACCACTAGAAATAATTCAAAATTGTGACAGGAAAAACATCCTTACTGTATTTCAGCTTCAGGAATACTACTTTTAAAACCACTTAATATAGTGCTATTATAAAATCATGTATTAATAGCCACAAAACTGGTCAAAGCAAGTGGAGAACTAAAGGGTTTTTTCTGTGTGTACCTCAGCCCAAAAAATCCACAGGAGTTAGAAATGGTTAACTTCACAGAATTTAGCTTCTTTCATTACATACTAAATCTTTACTAATTCAGCATCATGAAAAATATTATGATAAAACCACACAAACTGCTTCCTGGCATCAAATTTATTTATATGACAATGGGTCTGACAAACACGTTAACAATCAACTTCTCGGGTTCCTCCTCTTCCTGCAACAAATCCCTCTAAATTAGGGCAAGTGCCTAGTGCATGGCACCATGACAGACGGACACACATATGGCGTGCAGCCCTATGGTGAGGGCACTTGGGCTCCCCAACTTCCCTGTTAACAGGGCTCTTGTGAAAGCGGGAGCCCCGTGGGTTGCACACACAAGTTACTGCAGTGGTCTGCAGCCCTGGGACACTACATGGGAGGTGCAATGGGCTAGCAGATCACAAATCAGCACAATCAGCTCTGTCCATCCAGTACATGGGATCCCAGGGCAAGAGCATGCCTACAGCACAGCTGTCAAAGTGTAGTACGTACTGGCTGCAGAAAGGGTGGTGGAGATGGGGAGAGAGTGAGCCGAGCGAGTCTCTTGTACAACACATGACATTATTTGAGAAAGGCTCGTAGCTCAATTTCACAACAAAGTTTACTTTTCTTAGACTGCTACATCACGAGGTGTGTAAGCTACTTCAGAAACATTTCAGATTTTTGCGTAATTTTTCTAAAACCTTTTGCACTTCAGATATGTTTTTAATCTAATAACCTTAGTCTGCTTGAGTAGGACACAGGTCTTACAGAACATACAATAAGAAAATGTCTTTTTTTGGTATTTCCATGTAAAATGTCCATCTTAACAATAAGGGAATGTAACCTTTTGAAAAAAACTTGTGAATTAGCAGACCATTTGCTCCACTTGTCAGAGTATCACTTAACATACTTAGTTCTGGATCTATGACAACACAAATGATATTTTAGACCCAAGGACTGCACACAACATGATATGGAAAGTAATCAGTAATAAAATAATAGTTTGTATAATAAAATTATATTAGACACAAGTAGAGGTAAAAGGGAAAGCATGTTAATGCTCACTGCCTGGATTTTATCACCCTAGCTTTACTGCAAAACACATTTAGTCACATTCTTTGCTATGTAAGTTTCAGCTCATGAATTCCTAGTAATCCTGGTTTTAGGGGAAAACCCTATGCCCGGGGGAAAAGACAAGGAAGTTCCACCTCCTAAATCCATGCTTCTTGGGGAATCTGCCAAAGATTAACTAAATTGTCTCCATGATGACTGGCTCTCACCTGTACAGGTATGGTATTAACAAAATCAACTGATGAAGTGTTCTTAGATTACACTGACAAAAAAGGTCTGTACTAGAAATCAATACAATCCTTTCAGCAATAAATAAAATAATAGTTAAGCACTGCATACACTCCCAGTCCTACAGAATCGTAACTCATCTGCTGTTTTTAATAACACAATTCCACGACCACATAAAAGCAAAGCAAAGCGGCTCGTTCTGTAACTTTAAGATAGCAAAGGAAGTGAAGAAAGTGCCAGGTCACAAAGAGTTAACATGGTACTTACCACCTGCATGGCAGAACTTCTTGGAGGATGTGGTTCTATGAGCAGTTGGGAAGGGGTCTGTCCAAAACTTCGTATTTGAGCTTCAACAGCCTGGAAAAGGCACAGGCAGGTTTGCATGTTAAGAGGTGCTAATTACAGGCAATAGAACCGTAACTGTCACCTGAAAATGTCATTCCACACTTCTGGCTTGTTTCATGTTGAAAATCAACCCCGTGTGTTCACTGTGGGGCTAAGTGCTTGGCACTGGTACTAAGAATGAGGTAATCATTTTAGTACTGTGGATGCTATTTCCATGAGAAACTCTGCAAAACCTCATCCTGCTCAATGATATTAAACAGAAACAAGCTATTATAATCAGAAACCCTCTTTATTGGCTCCATTTTGCCTTTCTAACACTGGCTTATCCTGTTTGTATCAGAACTCAGAAACAAAAGTTAATTTTTAAAAAGTTTCTATACATATTAAGCGTTCTACTTTCTATTTAAACTCTATTGCTTAGTTTCACAGCAATAACGACAACAAAAGTGACAGCGAGCTTTTTTCTTATTCTCATTTTAATTCAAAAAGAGCAAACAACATTAGGATGCATTAAACTACCAACAGCAAGACTAATCTTAAATGCAGCTAAAGGAGAATGTGAAGATATAACGCAACAAATTTTTTAAAAAGTTTCTCTGTAGCTTCAGCAACGTGCTTTATCACTTTCTTCATAGAGCATGCATGAAAATAATGTTAAAAATAATTATTCTGAAATGGGTGAACTTACACCCTCTTGCCTAGGCATGCCCAACTAGTTTTCCATGTTGTCACCTACTGGCCCATTGGCTTAAAGATAAAATCAAGCAGCCAAAATTCAACAAGTTATTTCTTGTCAGCCAGGCCCCTGCGCTACCCACAGAAACAGACTAATACTACAGAAAAACTTAAATCATTCAGCTTAGATTAAATCTTTTTCATTGTGAGCTAAACTAAGTAAAACTACCTTGCATTCGCTGTGGGCTAACAGACTGCATACGGGCCAATACTTTAGTTTCTCTGTTGCATGGTGCATTGAGCCCTACATTCCCAAAAGTGTTTAGTGATGCTGAGTACCAAAGATGAGGCATTAGCAAATCCTACTTTCAAAAGAAGTCCTGAAAATCAGGCCCTTCAAAAAAGTGTTTTAAATGGGATGCTTGAATGCTAAAACACAAAACCACTAGCCACTTTTTAGCTAGTAGAATACCATGTTTTTCTCTCAGAGAGTCGTCTTTTTCACGGTTCAACACACCTTGAGGCTCCTTACATTTATATTTCCTGTTCTATTTTAGCCATCCATTAAAATTTTTGAGACAATCGAATAACACTTACGTTGATCTTATTCTTACAAACAACTATTTTTAGATGATAATAATAATAATAACAATAAAGACTATTACTAGGACACACAATATTCTCTTGTTACAGAAATAACACAACCAAAAGTCGTATGCACCTGAAGCCTTAAGATCATCAAAAATAATCATCCTTTGATAGGAAACATGCCATCCAAAACACTTGGCCTTATTACATTCGGCAGGGCTTTTGAAACATCTGAACTCACCAGAATAGGAGTTGCAATTACTCTATGGACAGATTCTAACACTCTTGCCCATCCTGGGAAGCACCTTAATCTTCAAAGAACTGGTGAATAAGTACGTTTATCAAAAAGCTGGCTGAAATCTGACATACAAACACTGTGATTCAATCAGTATTTTTGAGGAACAGCAATATCAGATTCGTGAAACAGTAAAGCTCAGTAACACCATCAGAGTCCCCTTCCTAGTGATGAGACACGCTACATTAAAATTCAAATCTGGGGTTTTGTGACTCAAGATATCAAGGGAATCACAAGGGCATAGAATTTGAGGTCCCTTAAGACATGAGGCATTAACAAACCAACAGCATACTGGTCAGCAGCTCTACCGTCTCCATAAAAAGCTGTTGGTTTCAACACATCAGGATTAAAAAGATTTGCCTACATTTACTTGCAGATTGAGTGGAATATCTTTACTAGCAAATGGGAATTCTACATTGCATTGAGGGTAGAACCAGAAGAACACAGGAGGAGCAGAATGCAGACAGTCCCGGACATCAGTTATTCTGTGCGTGTTAAAATCTTTAGGGCAAATCTACAGTCTATAGGATCTACTATTTATTTCCTGTAAAAATATATATCCAATGTATTATTCAAAATGAATAAAATATTTTTGAAGCATAACTCCCATGCATTTCTTTTAGAGCTGAAAATAGATAAAACGAGGCAATAATAAGCTTCAGATTCGTTAACTTCCTTGTGTATTGACTTCTGATCAATATAGAAACTTCCGTTCCCAAATAGCCCACATCAGCATTTAAAGGGAGTCAGAATTCTGTCTTAGCCATGAAATCTGGTATGTCCTTTAATTCCTGACCCTAACTCTACAAACTATACTCTCTTACATAGTGCCAGGACTAAGAAAGAAAATTAAACACAAGATAGCACATATTGATGCAGTGTTGCAAATACTTCAAATACGTTCATCACAACAAGAGCCCAAACTGAGGTAGAACAAAAATCAGATGTTGTAAGTGCTTTAATCAACAGAAGATCAGCAGTCAGAACGCTATTTTCCACAGTCCAGATCTCAGAGGAACTCACCACCTTCCAGCAACATAAAAACTGGAAGAGACACAGTTATGGTTCCACTGCTTACTCACATACGTGAGGCTCATCATTATCACACTCCTAGACCACACAACAGCAGCAGCACAGCTATTTGTCTCCCACCCACCCTCAGTGCAGAAGACAATCGCGCTGGGATATTAAAAACAAGTATAAAATATTCTATACAACCCACAAGTAGATAGTCACTGCCTGTTTTCACACAGTGTTCTGTCAGAACTGGTGAAAATGCTGACCAATGGGACAGTGACTTTGCCAAAGCCTGCCTTAGAGGACCACAAATTCTCTGTTTTCAGTCTTTAACAGACAGTTTCTACATCCATGTTTATGATCTAGCTTGAGTTTGGGATTTACAGTTCCGGCACAAACAAGTCTTTTAGACTCATTAGGTTCTATCTGGTCCTTCCAAAAAAATATGAGAGCCTACATTTCCAGGATTACAATAGCTCTCTGACAAAGTCTTTCCCTTTTAGCCAACAGAACTGGGAAAAATCTACATTCAGATCACGTAACACAGGTAACAAGGTTTCATAAAACATCAAAACGGTACATAAAGGCGCAGATATTGGTATCTGTATGTCCTCTCTACTGACGTCTTCAGAGATCCAAAATAAATTTGAAAAACTGTTGAGTAAAAGCAATAACACTTGGACAATTACGTCTAGACAGAGTGGCTGGACTGCAGCATAAACACCTTTTGCACTCTTTTTAATTACCAAGAAAAAAACCCCGAAGATTTCATTATTTGGCTTCAACATTTCTTAATTATGACCAAGAGAGTGTACGAGCAACCCCAAATGATTCCTTCCTTTTCCCAGATTGTATTCAAAGTCAATCCAGATGTCAACTCCACGTTCTGATGATGTCTCCGTCAGAAGGGATCACATACAGAAGGATGCAAGATGACCTCCCTCTGTCAGCAGAAACATGTGATGGTGGAGCTAGAATCAATCCCCATTCTCTCAATTTACATAACAATAGAAAGAGAAATACAGGGCATTTTAGCCACCAGATGTCACTCAGACTTTTGTTCAACCTGTCAAAGAAAATCAGCTTGGAGCAGGGAATCTTCTCCTCAGAGAGATAATTAATATCTCCTTTGAAGAAAACAACCTACCACTTACCTGAGAATATACAGTAAAATGACCATCAGTCAAAAAGTCATCAGCTCACTTTCTAATGAATTATAGCCCACCTTCTAACTTAATTTTCTTGCAAAATGTATTACTAGCATTAGTCGGTATTACTAAGAGATGGCCAGCTGCTTCTAGTGGCAGAGGAATTGCTGAATCCCTCCGGAGCATACAACCATTTAGATTATTGTAGGCAGAAATATTTGGGAAATTTGCACAACTAGTTTCACGTCTATTAAAGGCACTATATAACTGGAAAGGAATAACCTTGGTTTGAAAGATATCTTTAGTTCCACAAACTCTCATCGCTGAAAGCATGCTGCATACCACAAAGTAAAAGATAATATCATTCAACATTTTGTTTCACTGCTTCTCAAATATCTCAGTAAAATAGCCTTCTTACTGTTAATCCTCTACAAAAACAAAACTTTGGTAAGGCCAGAATTGTTCCAGATGCTACAACAAGTAGTAGTAAAATGAAACAAGGTAACTAACCCCTTACAATAATCCACACAGTATGCATCTCAAACCACCTACTTCTATGATAAACACGGTAGTTCGAATGTTAATTCATTTATGAGTATGAAAGCCATAAGCAAATTTCACAAGTTAACATTTACCCAATTACCACAATAACCTGTTCCTAAAAAGGTCTCCTGGATCACCTCCTCTTTTCTTGGGGGGTGGGGAGAAGGGGAATAGGGGAGTAAATTAAAAGAGGAAGAGTGAAAAACTTGAAAACTTGGCTTAGCTATAATGTAGCTTTTGGCCACTGCTTAGTACGGATATTTTCAGTCTCTGAACTTACCCTCTAATCTAACTGTGAAGAAAGTTAATTCAACAGCATGCAGTACCCACCGAATACGGCTGTAAATTTTTTTGGGAAGGAGGGTGATGGGGAGGTTGAACATATGGATGCAGTTAAGGTAAAAACAGATGTTTGTTACTTTTCTTTGCAGCAACACTCAGAAACTAAGTCAAAATTGCTTTTTTTTCATGTTTATGTCTGAAAGAACTATAAAATTAAATATGAGGGAGGGCGGGTGGAGGGGGAACTGCAGTGAGTGTCACAGAGAAAGAATGAAACGGTCTCCAGTTTTGAACTCAAATCCTGAAATGAAGGCCCATATAGTTAAAAGGCAAGACATACACCATTTAACTCCAGATTTAAAGACCCTTAAAGAGACTAGCTCAGAGTTGCTTTCATCATGCCTGCTCAGACACAAAACACCAAATTGTCTGAAGAGTCTAACAGCACAGCACACCCATGTTAA